GAGAGTAACCTCGGACCAGGCTTCATCCCCCCTAACATGTTATTGCCTCTGATCACAAGATATTGTTAAATCTTTGTTAATTACTTTAAAAACTCGCAAAACCCTCGTTTTTTCAGTACAGTAATGTCTTTGACTCTCTCATGCATGGCTTCTTAAGAGAAGATTTACACATTTGCGAATCCGTATTCTTTTTCCTTTGTTTCGTATATTTTCTATCCTTATTAATTTATGTAATTTGAAGGTAACGAAATCTTTCTAAAAGATATTTATATATGAACATCTCGTTGTTCAGGATACACTCTCAAAGATCTAAGTTAGATCGAGTTAGATGGCTGTTTTCCTGTATAATTTTCTTTGGTAGTATATCTGATATTTTTTTTTTTATTATTCATGGTATATAGGAGATTTATAGAGTTAAGTTTTGAGAGAAGATCGATGTGTCGATATCACAAGACCGAATTTTTGTTTTTAATGGAACTTTTTGTTGTTAATTTTTATTATTTTCAAGCATATTATTATTTAGGATGTTTTCTAAATTTTCTGGTTGATATACGAATTAAAATGAGTAGACATTTCTTACTTTGAAGGAAAATTAAACTTTTCTGTTTAATATGTTTACAGACATTCTGTGACTTACAAGCATATTTCTTAACATATGCAAGTGGAACGGTGTATATGTTTTCAAATGATATATTTTGATGTTTTTATATGACTTTTTTTTGTTTTGATTTGTATAAATGGTATTCATGTAAAAGCGTTAAAGTAATCGCAATTTACCCCGAACACATTCCAAACACAAAATCTATCCTACTAAAAACCAAACGCATAGAAAAAATCAACTAACTGTTAATGAAAATAACTCTCCGTGGAAATGTCAGAATTCTAAACGATTACTAATGAAACGCAACATTCTTCTGGTGAATCAAAGCGACATGATTGAGCTCACCAATGAAACGTTAAAACGATGCGTTTGAAAAAAGGATTCTGATTATACAATTTCACAAGACAAAAAAGAAACAAATTTTGGGGCAAACGGGCCTCCAAATGTAAACTCGTATATAACTGGGCCGAAAGTTGTCTTTATGGCTCGAAACAAACAAAGTTGTTAAATATTCTTCCTTTCAAGCTTCAATTGTAGAGTCGATTTTGGTGAGTACTGTAAATCACGGTAGATGAACATCTATTTTTCTCTATCAATACTCACCAAATATTTATGTAACTAATCAATACATTCAAAACTTCAAATCTATTCAGTGAATTGAGTATTACCCATTACATTCAAAACTTCAAATCTATTTTAGTGAATTGAGTATTACCCATTTTCATTATTATACATTGAATTTGAATTCCAGGGCATCTTTTTCTATAGAAAACCAAAAAAAAAAAAAAGGTATCAGTTTACAATAACCGAATCAATAACCCAATGTTGACCATCGGTTTTGACTTTTAACCGGTTAATCTCTGCGAACAAATTCACAGCTCTTCTCACTCCTCTATTATCAGCCGCCGTGAAATAATCATGACCGAATAAAACCCCACCGGGTCGGAGTATCCTAACCGCCCGGTTTATATCCGCCCAAGCCGAATTAAAATCATGACCCGCGTCTATCTCAACCAGATCCGCCTTCACTCCCCACTCACACAGCTTCTCCAAACCCGAACCGGTCGAAAACGGAACCGGTAAAATCGAACCGGCGAAATCAGAGCTAACCACGTTTTGCATAAACTGGTACAGAAGCAAAACGTCGCCGTTTACCAAAGCCACGTCTTTAAACCGGTCTCGAAAACCGGGCCAGCCACGGAAATCGTCGACGCAGAGTATCTGAGTCTCCTCTAGTCCAAGGCGGCGCGTGAGATTCGCCATGTGTATCGCCGATGCGCCGAGGAAACTCCCGATCTCGACGATCGTACGAGGTTTGACTCGGCGGATGAGATTCTCGAACACGGCTCCGTATGATCCCCAGCCTTTGATTCGTTTCGGCCGGAGGTATTTTCCGGCGTGAGTTGGCGGGAAATCGGTGTACGGAGAAGTTCCGTTGAAGATCCGGTCGATCACCGTCCGGCGGATTAATTCCGGTGGAACAAGTTCGCCGCAGCGAGTCGTGATTCTGAAGTTATCGATTGGACATGACTTGACGGTTCTCAACGTAGCCGCAGTAGA